CACTGTACACAAGATTCTACAGTATTTCACAGTAAAAACGTAAGTCACAAAGATTAATGTATGTGTAGGGAATTTCAAAAGTTATACATACCATAAGGTGACTGAAGAAAAATGGTGTGCTCAAAGTACTTTCTCAAAAATAAATGCTTTTTCTTGTATTGGTGTGCTACTGTCCAGCTTTGGTTGGATGTGACGGTCTGAACAGAGCACCAGAAAATGGCGAACATCATATAGGGAAGTGAAAACGTTAAGTTCCAAGGGAGACAACAATATTTAATCCTTGTCTAATGCAGTAGAGTGTCATAAAATTGAATGGCCTCTGCCATACTTAATTTATTGAACCTTATTGTGACATGACACCTAAACATCAGAATTCTGGAATCAGAGAAGCCTTGCATAGGTGTCCATTGCTATGCAATGGCTTGTTAAGACTTTCGAATGGCAAGAAATAAATGTGTAACCATAGAAGACTGATGGGACCTGAGCCAGAGCCATCAAGCATGGAAATATTAGAGAGAATTCCCATTATTTTGGGGCCATTACAAAGCAGCGAGTACATGACATAGCAGACTGGAAGGATTTGGAATGTGCTGTAGTTATTTGTAGATTGTGTGGAATAGTGAAAGTTTTGTAATTTGTAATTACAAGCAATAAGAGCCGCATAAATTCAGTCATCAGTTCAAATCCTGTATATGGTCACTAACCCGTAACATTGCCGTTGAGAGGAGTGGGATGAGGCAGAGTTCCTTGGTGTCGTGGCCTCACGTGGGCCTGTTTTACTGGATGTTAGATGAATGTGCAATGTTGGTGGAAAGATAACTGGTAAAGGAAAACTGTAGTGCTTGGAAAGGAAGATGGTTCCATTGCCACTCTGTCTGCCACAAATGCCACATGAACTATGTGGTATGGGAGATGGGACCATCTCAAATAAAGGACATTTATATTGTCACTCAGCTTTGTAATGTTAAGATGAATATTATAATTGAGTGGTTGGAATTTTATCTTCAGGGAAAGATTTCGCTGAATAGGAAGCTGGATGAGCCCCAGAGATGATGTTGACTCTGCAGAAAAGATAAAAATCACTTTTCCCTGCCAAGAATCAAACCCCAATTCCTCAGCTGTTCAATCCATTGCACAGTCACTTTACTGACTGAGATGTCATGGCAGATTGAAGTGTTTTGAACTAAACTAAGAATGAATAAAATAAATCAGAATCCAGTGAATTTAAATGCATAGATGAGTGTAGTAGACTAAGGGAGGAGGAGAAACTTCATTCCCATGTATGTACACTCAGATGAACACTCTATTGAGAGAATTTAAAGGTGTAGAAGATGGTATCAGTTTATAATGATATTTCTTAGAGGACATGGCATGCATGGAGGGGAGGGTGTAGTTCTACATGTTGCTCAAAATTTGACAGATTCCACCCTTGTTATAGCAGTAAGTGCCATTGAAATTGCTGTCTCATAGGAAGTACATAATTTACATATTTAATTTTGTTATTAAAAAGTTCCTTGAACTACCCTTTCATGTGACATAGGATGTAATTTGACTAGGCCTGGTATAAATGTTAAAGTGAAGATTTATTGACTCTCAGTAATGTAGTAGGGCTGTAATTAGCACAATATCACCATACATGCATTGTTTTTATTGTAGTTTTATTGCCATGGCCCATAAAATTATATATGGTTTCTCATTTTACTTCAATTTATTGTGATTATTTCTTCAGATCCCAGCAGTGAATTATCACTTCCCTGCACGTTCAGTATGAAACTTACAGCTATCCATTCTGTTTTGTTAGATTGGGGAATGTGTCTCTGGACATTGCTCTGGAGGGCTACAACCCGAATACGAGTAAAGCAATGGCAGTAGAACAGTGCCAGTGCCCACAGCCATACAAGGGCCTCTCATGCGAGGACTGTGCCCCTGGTTACTACCGTTCCCAGACTGGACCATATGGAGGATACTGTGTTCCCTGTCAGTGTAATGGCCATTCTGAAACATGTGATGAGGTCACTGGAATTTGCTATGTGAGTGTATTTCATTATAGAACTGTTTCTGCAAGGTGCAGGGCTCTTGATGCTGATTCACATTGTGAAAGAGTGGTATGGGTGCTGACCAGTCTTCTCCCTTAACTGTGCGCATTCACCCTTGCAGCTTCTGTCTCACTCCCATGCATGAGTCCCAGTCTCTCACATGCTAGGATCTTATAAATTTAATGTCTGTTATGGATCTTTTTAAAAAATTTTGCCTAAGCGAACCCAACTGTTGCTCTGAAGACACCATGACTTGCGCACGTGCATCCCCAGCTTAGAAGGGATGTTGTTACTGACACCTTCCTGTTGTAGTCTATTCTGTTCTGTTCTATCTGGGACTGTTTCTGGATCATTTAACTATTCTAGAAAGCAAAGGAAATAGCAGTAGATAACCTTACATAAAATCTTGATATTATGTTGTAGTTAAAAGCTTAAACTTCCTTACTCTGTAACCAGTCACGTGCTGAGTCAGAGGTGGAACCCCAGCCTAAAAACCGAGAATGTGTGCTGACTGTGAAGGGCTATTGAACACATGAAGTCATGATGACAGATGATTATGGAGCATTGATGAAATAATTAGCAGAAGGGAAAACTGAAGAAACTCAGATAAATACCTGCTCCTGTGCCACTTCATCCACCAGGAATCTCAAATGAAGTTGCCCAGGATTAAACCCAGGCCTTTGTTGCAAGAAGCCAGTGTCTAACCACCTGATCTATGGAACTTGTATGCTGGACAGTGTCTACTGACTGCTGTATATTTAACCTTGTGTATCTGGAAATGGGGTATATAAGTCACTGAATACTATGGGCACTTGTTGCAGGATTTTAGCTCAAGATTTAAACATATATTGTATTAAAAATACAAAATATTGTATTAAAAAGAATATTGGGCCAGCTATCATGTTACGCTGCTGCACAGCCATTGAAGGTTGTGAATTGACTTTATTCCCATCCTCAGATTACTGGGTGTAGTCACCAACAATACAACTATGACCACCATCTCCTCATTACTTATCTTCTCCCTCCCTCCTCCTCACCCCCCTTCTCAGTCTCCTTTTCCTCCTCCTCCCTTCCAACATTAGGCCCATTGAGACCAGCTATGAATGTTACAAAACAGAATTGTTCAGAAATTTTCTGAAACTTCTTTCCTTGGTGCTTTTTATTTTAGGAATCCTGGCAGAGCCTATCCTGTCCAGCATGTTCTTTCCAATTACATTTGTATTCTATAAATCATTATATTTTTTAAAATTTGTAGTTCACCCATAAGGGGTAGGATGCGTTTCCCATGGCCTCTCCTACGATGCCCACCTCAAAGGCACTGACTCCAAACTTACAGCCAGGATAACTGTTATATCGGGGCTGGAGGAAATGCTGGTACACAGAGCTGTCTGTCATTGAACTGCTTCACTTTGGTTACCAACCAGTTGGCAGGACTTCAAATTGATGTCAAGGGATTGCATAAACAGACCGGACTGGAAATCATGAAGATGACCAACGCATGAACATGAAGAAATGATGTGGTGTAATTATAATGGGAGTATAGTATTGTATTCTGTTAGAATTACATACGTTGTGTTGGTTTTTGCAGGATTGCAAGCACAATACGACTGGGGATCACTGTGAGCTTTGTACAGTAGGTTACCATGGAGATGCCACACAAGGATCACCCTTTGATTGCCTCATTTGTGCATGTCCTTTACCAATTCCATCCAACAAGTAAGTAATATTCTCTTGTTATATTCTTACATCTGTAACAAGTGTGTGTGTGTACGCATGTCATTAGTTCCCCATCTATACCACCCTTCCCCATGTGTTTTTCAAAGCAGAATGCTCTTTATAGAGACAGCCACTCACAAACCTGAACGCTCTTTATAGAGACAGCCACTCACCAACCTGAACACTTTGATCCTGAAAATGGAGGCAGCCTGTTGAAATATCAAGCCACATTGCCCACAACCACACAATATAACAACCCAAAGAACAGATTTAATATCACGAAATCCTAAAATGAGCAGAATATGTATTGTTAGAGTAACAGCAGCTGAGATTAGGTTGGTAAGTAGTACAGAAGGAGGAGAAGGAGGGAGAGAGAGATAGAGAGAATATAAAATGAAAAAGTTAGAATTTAAAAAGTAAATAGATTGGAAGATAAATTAATAAATAAGAATACTGTGGTATGGCAACGTTTTGAGAAGGAATGAAGAAAGAATCCCAAATAAAATTTTAAACTTGAAACTAAATAGAAAATGTCCAAAAGGAAGACTGAGATTTGGAAAGATATAATCACATGTTGGGGGTACGAATGATGAAAATAATATGTTCTAGTTTTGATGATTGGATTTGTTAGCACCTTGGTTACAAGTTCTCTTAATCACACTTAAATACAGCACTATCATTGATTTACCCACTTTCCATTTCACCATTGCATACGCACTAGGATTGTCCATCTTCACTAGTCATCTCCTGACAGTGTATCTCCACACAGAAAGTAGCACTTCAGATCACTAGACAGTCTTCTTACCATTTCTTGTTCAATCACCCTGGAACCTCAGAACTCAACTAAAAACCCTCCTGAACCCCTCACTAATCTAAGATACCACAGGTCTTCATTATATAGGCTCTGCACGGACAACACAGAAAACACAGTTCCACTGCCATCTTGTGCACACAACATAGAAAACACGTTACGTGATAGCTAAGTACTGTTGGAGTGTGATGTCATTATACCTCCATGGAAGTGTCTTTACCAGGCCGTTGCCTAGAAACAGGTTGCATAACCCCTTTGTTCCATTGTTGGTGTGTATAAATTAGAAACGTCTGTTTTTGTGGCTCAACCGTTTTGCATGGGGCAAATACACTATAGTATCATATGATTTGAAGGAAGAACGTGTGAGGAAATTGAGGAGTTCTGGAAAGACAGATGGAGAGGCTTGGTTGCTCGAAATGTTGAAGGAAGTTGCAGCAATAGATCTAATTGTTAACTTTCAGAGCAGTGGTTGACACTTTAAGAGTCATTTACTTTGGTTTGATATTCTCATGTTTTCAGCAGGAGTAATTCATAATTCTTTATGATTGAATTGAATTGAATTGAATTTATTTACATTCTATAAATCCTAAGTAGGTTAGTACCTTTGGATACAGAACAAGTCAAAAGGTTACATACATAAGTACAGGCAATTTTAGCTTAAAAATTAATATAACTTAATTTTACATCATTCTCTATTTACATTGAAGTATTCATCTAAAGAGTAGAAGGAATGAGCATGTAGATAATTCTTTAACTCTGATTTAAACTTTTTAGTATCATTGCCCAAGTTTTTAATACTTTGTGGCAGATTGTTGAACACTTTTATGCCAGTAAAGTAGACTCCTTTTTGATATACTGATAAAGTTGATGAGGATAGGTGGAAGTTATATTTTTGTCTAGTATTCATGTTATAGACATCAGAATTTAATTTGAATTTATCTTTG